GGTATCCACCGTGCGCATTTATAAATGTGTTTTGTCCTGCACATGCGGCACCTCCCACTTACCTGGGTGCCACGTCAGCACCTGACAGCAGATTGCGATGAAGGAGTATGCTCTGATACCAAATTGTAATGAACCCAGACTGACAGATACTCGCCAGACATCAAGCACAAGTAGTCTCAGATCTGCACAAAGTCTCCAGCTAACATGAAGTGATATCTGAAACAGTATCTCGTTACCATTAGACGAAGAGAGTGGAGGGGGAATAGACAGAGGAGAAGGTGGAAGAGATGAACAATGATCACCCAAGAGTAATGCAATCAAATCCCACTTCTTCTCCGGGCTTCCTCTCTCCTCCACGTCATCAACCAGTACACGATAACAAGTATGATAAGTCCTGATCACACAGAAGTGCCACGTGGCACTCTTATCTCGTGAAGACCATGAAGACAACAGCAGATTACGGTAACGACGTCAACCTCAGGTGAGTACCTGATCCCAATCATCCACAGATCCCAATCTCCCTCCTTGTCGCAACCAGTCACCTCATGTAGACAGCGTGGCCAATGCCACGTCAGATATAGAGACAGGTGGCATGCACCACATCGTCGATGAAGACAGGTGGTAGCGCCACATCAGCAATACAATGTAGGCAGGTGGCGGCACCACATCAGCAATGTAGACCAGTGGCATGCGCCACATCAGCAATGCAGACAAGTGGCATGCGCCACATCAGCAGGGTAGACAGGTGGCAGCGCCACATCAGCAATGTAGACAGGTGGCAGCGCCACATCAGCAATGCCTGGTGCACAAAACAGAAAACGCCAGCATGCTGCCACAACCCGCGTCGTCGTCCACTGTGCCTGTGCACAGCCAGCGTCAAGCCAGCGTCTCGCCAGCGACATGCCAGCCTCAATGCCAGCGTCCAGTCACAGTTGAGCCAGTGTCCAAGCAGCATAGCAAGACTGAATGTTGACCACCTCGAGTCCTGTCCTTTTGTAGTGTTTGTCGAGGCCGTCTGGCCTCCGGTCCCCTCCCCACAGTCGTACAGATTGACCCTCAGCCGAGGGCCTGGATGATGTACAGTTGCGGATTTCCCCTTGGTCCTGATGCTGTCTGAGTACCTGCATACAAACAAGTGTGTGCATCTGACCGGCGGCCTGGGCTGGGTCCACTTTGGACTTTGACTGTTGGGTCCTGACAGTTTTTGTCAACTGTACCTCGCTCAGGCCCTGAATCTTTAGCTGGGGTCTTTTTCCCCTTTTTGGCCTGGGCCTGGGTGTGGCCTGGAGAGGCCCTCAGTTTTTCCATGAGGTATACAACATGGGTTATTGCAGTCCTATGGATGCTTGGTGATCTTCATGCTGTATAAATAATATGTGTGGCTGACACTGCTGCTTGCAGATCAAAACGGTAATATTGTGATTGCCCTTGTGGGTGCTTATTTTCCCATGTGTCTCTGCAGGCACTTATCATAAACTTTGCTGAGGATTTTGCCAACACAAAGAGGCTTGGTTATGATCTTTGGCTGGTATGCATTGTGATCGGCCTTTGCGGGTAGGTTACTTTCCCTTTTGCTTCTCCATGGAATTGCAGGTTCATGATTCCTTTCCTCCACAAAGGTTCTTCTGATTTCTCCCAAGGGCCGGCAAAGGGTCTGTATCCCATTTGATACCCGTGTTATCAACTTACCATGGTAATTGTATTAGGCTTCAAGGTTTCTGGACAGAGTGCACATTCTTTCCTTTCTCTAATTCGTAGAATTTTTAAGCATCTCTCGGTTTGTGTGTGCCATCCTTGCACAGAGGCCTTGCTTACCTTCTCTTATCATTCCAACTATGGATGTCCAAAAGGACAGCCGATGTGTGCATACATCTCTCGTTTCGGTTTGTCTTTTGTTCTGTTTTTTCGGAAAAGAAGCGTAGCCTTATGGCCATGTCTTCGTTCCATTCTGGGCACAGCTAAATAGGGCCCAATGGATCAAATAGGATGCAAGTAATAACAAAGAGGTCTCACTGACATTCAATGAGCACCTAACTCATGAGTAAGCCCAGAGATATAAACAAGTGTAATGACCCGCCAAAAACACAGACTGAGAACACTGCTGATTTCTGGGATTTGCCGCTGGAATGAATGCCTTGCTGAAATTCCCGCATTCTGCTGTGATTTCCATGTCTGTGTGTGTG